AATGGGCAATGGGCAACGGGCAATGGCAATAACCAAAACCGAAAACTGAAAACCGAAAACTGAAAACCTAAAAACCAAAAACCAAAACCGAGAAGCCAGTCCACTCCGCACTCGTGACCGCTATAAATCGATGAAGTCATTGTGTGAGTGCCGGCGATCCTGGTACAGAGCGAACCGAGCGAATAGCCCTTGCCTTTTTCATTTCGAGTTTTATTTTTATTTTCGTACTTGGTTCGATTTTATTGCCGCCTCATAAAAGTAGCATAAACATGTTAGTAGCCTTTTGCTACCGCTACTTAAGTTAGTTGCCAAACGCTGTTGCTCCCTTTTCATTCCTTTTTTTTTTCTTTTTGTTTTTCTCCTGGCTGAGATTTACGAATTTGTTGCACATTTTATTATGTGATTTGTGCCCTGTTGATTCGGCTGCTCGTATGTTCTTCAGAAACGGTATCTAATAACGATGATTGCCCCCCCCCGGAACTCCCCGTAGCGATGTGGATGTGAAATCTCAGATATATCACTCTGGAGATATATCTGCCTGAGATCAGGGTATTCCCCATTCGACTTGTTTCTTGCCCGCTTTGTTCACCTCACCTCTTCAATGGTCGTTCTTGTTCTTGTGCAGTTTTCTTTCAGTGTCAAAGTGTAATAAAATATTACTCATGGTAATTAAAATTTTGTGCTGCGCTGTTCGCTCTTCCGAGCTGCTTTTATTTCTTTGCCGTCGGCTCAAGTTCAATGTGCACAGGGGTGTTGGCGAAGGGGGGAGTGGGGCACGTTTCGGTGGGGGTAAGCAGCAAAGTGAAAAAAATTAAAACAATTAAAAAGCGTTTGTCGAGGTGCGCAACTCCACACAGCTCAACTCAAAAATGAAATAAAATAAAAATCCACAGCCTAGCGAGCCCATAAACCGCAGGCAAAGAGCTGCGCTGCCGGCGACAGTTCAACGACATGTTTATTAAGTCATACGCAAAATTTTTTCTTATTTTTTTTTTTTTGTTTTTGGTTTAGGCCCGCCTGGGACCAGACTTCAAGCCCCGGGTCTTAACTGTCTGAGAACCCGCCGGCGAGATTTATGCGGCCACACTCTATGAGATTACATAAATGGCCATTAAAATGTATGCTAATAAAAACAAGATATGTCCGACCAGACAAGCGCACAAATTATATAATTAAGACGAGGCGTTAGGAGCGGGGCGAACGACGCTATTTAGGGACTTCAATTGGAATTCCCAGATGGAACTCACTACTTGGTCTACTAAAGATAGGAAATACTAAATGTATTTATATGTATTTATTGACTTTGTGAGACGTATAAGTCACCTTAAGTATTACCTATAAATTATACATAGGAATTGTTTTAATGCTTAACCTTTAACCTTGTTCCTTTTCTAAATAATAATGTTTAATTTTTTTTGGTTTTATTATTTACAAATACTCGAGCACTTCAAGCCATTAGCTTCTGTTGAACCATAACTTTTGCATCCATCGGCGGTTTTTTCCTGGGAACCTTATGCGATCTGCTCTCGTAAACAAACAGCTTGAATTTGGAGGCTTTCAATGATATGCTTGAATTTGGAGGCTTTCAATGATATGCTGAACGATTCGCTGGCTGCCTGTCAATATCGTCATCGAGTCGTCCACCAGCAACAACAACAACAACTACATCAGCAACAAAAAGAGCACGGGCTTAAGCCGGCCGGCTATGCAAACGTAAATAATAACAACTGTAAAAAGATCATAATAATAACAATAACAACGCGGCAGCGACAGCGACAGCGCCGATAAAAATAATAAACATAAAAAATATTAAAATGCGAACGCTTTGAAATGCAAATCACGCGGCCAATTTGACAAATTAATCGCTTTGTAAACAAATCGAATTTCAATTGCGAGCGCTTCTGATGGCTCATGGCTAATTGTAAGGGGGGGGAGGAGGGAGGGGGATTCCCCCTTTAGAGTGAGCGGGGGGAGGGGGGTCCTAATGGGTCGCGTTGAGATGTCGGGGCGGTGTTAAAAAATGGCAGTGCAGTTGGCATACGAATTGCCATACGAATTGAAAAACGCTCAATAATCTTTAATTAAGTGTCATGTTTATGGAAAGTGAATGTCGCCTGTATGTAGAAACGAATCAATTGAGGCTGCCGTTGAAAGGCAGATTGAAAGAGTCGGTAATTAATAGATTCAATTGTTGAATCCCTAATTGATTACTTATTGTTGCGTATATGATGGATCTACGTTGTTTTAGTTGTTTTATATTCTACTTATCAATGTTGGCTAATTTTCACTTTTGGTTGATTTAACTTTGCATCCCTTTTGATTCATACTAAAAGTGCATTTAAAAATGTGCATTTATCCACTTAAATACAGGTATCTAGTGAACTAGTTGCACAAGAATAATTGGGAATTCAACTCCAATGATTCCTAATCGGATATAGAAATTCTATTAACCATAATTCAAAGAATTCAAATTGATTGGATTTATCAGTGCTCAACCAAGTAATTGAATCGATTCCCTAATTGAGTTGCCAATTGTCGGACATTCGATTGAGTGTTAAGGTAAGTTAAGTTGCCAAAGGAATGAAAATGGAAATGGGAATGAGAGTAGGAATGGCCAAGTAGATACACAGATATCCTGTCCGTGCAAGACAGGACGCAGTTTTGTGGCCCGAAGGTCGCCGCAGGACGGGATTCCTGGAAGGTGCCGCAGGACAATAAAAAACACAAAAAGAGATTGGGAATTTGTGAGGTCGAAAGAAAGAAAAAAGAGGAGCGCAAAATGGCAGGACAATGGCAAAAAGTGGCCCGGCACAAAGGACTGCACAAATGCAGTTATCTTGCAAAATTGTCGACACAATGCGTGTGGGAGCGGGACGGCGCAATGATGGGTTATTAAATGTTGTTAATCTTTTCGCCCAGGCACATATTCAAATTTCAGCAGCAGGAGCAGGTAGTCAGTCAGACACCGTTATGGCCAGGCCAAAAACAAAGCCAGCAGAATCCCCGAGCTCGAATCCGAAATGCTGAAATGCCGAAATGTCGGGATGTCGGGATGCCCGGCCGTCGAGCCTCTTGGCATTTGCCTTTATTGTGCACGCTGTTTAAATATTTACCGAGTTTTACAATATTTATGACAGCTAAAAACATAACAACACCTACTTACCCAAAAGGGCTCAGAGAGCAGGCCAAAAAGGGGACACTTGACACTGGACTATGGCCAAGAAAACTCGAACTCGAACTCAAAAACGAACCCGGGAGCGGCTTAGAGTCTGGAGGACTTCCTTCAATCGATTGCAATCAATAAACGGCTTAGTCGGCATTATAATGCATGCCGAAATGTTTTCGCTCAGCGTCTCGTGCTAATCCATTTGCATGTCAACAGCAGTCTCCTCCAGGACACTGCGAAACACTGCCAAACACTACAGGACACTCCAGTCTGCTTCCGTTCGCTGAGTGCTAATAATCCGGCTGGACTTGGCCGTAAGTTGCCACTAAGCGCCCTAAACGGAGCTTGGCAATAAGCCAAGGCATTAAAAAGTAAATTTGCCTAAATCCGCTTAAAACAAAGCGGGGATTTGGCACTCGTCCTGGTCCTGCCACCACAATTACCAATCGATTTCCGTCTCAAACGGAGACTCCGAGGACCAAGACAAGTGTAGCCGTGTTTTAGTTAACCCCGGGGATAAGCGGCAGCTCATCTGCCGCCTGATCCCAACACCCCAGATCCACTAAACACCTCTGATGATGGTGATCGGCTTTATAGTGCTGCACTTGGCGCGAACTTTCATTGAGTGCTGGTTCCATTGATCACAGTCCATTCATTGGTTTCTCGGCCAGGTAGACTCAGGTGGGGATCGGTGATACGCGGCGATGGCGATGAGGGGAACTCTGCAGTTGGGGGGGGAACTTGGGGAACTGGGCCTGGCGTGCTAATAGTTTGACGCCGCTGGAGCTCATAAAACCCATGACCCACGGAGGAGCCATAAAGACAGGCCTGCGAAGTGGAAGACGCCAAGTCCCCAGAAAGTGTGTCAAGAGCATCGGAGTGGTGGGATGCCCAGGGGATATACTAAATACTCCCGAAAATATTGACCATATAAAATACTCGATCATTTTAGGCACACTCATTGGAATTGATGTATACTTATGTCCACTTAAATATATATCTTGAATAGTTAAGCTAACTAATGATTACCCAATAAAATACTACATTTTCAATAGAATATCGAAAAAATTGAATGATTCGAAAAAATGCAATATTATCACATTTGAATTAACGTTTCATTTGCTCTTGGTTTTAGAGACTTGGAGATATATAGGTCAACAACAGCCCCCAAAACACAAATGATACATTTTAAGGAAACATTAATTATTATCCATTGAAAAAACCCGCAGATAAATTATTCTCAAAATTGTCTTGTCCTGTTTTCCCAAAAATTAAAAACAACCAAAATTTATTTTCAGATTTGATTTTATTGTTCGCTTTATTTCGCACTGTCTTATTCATATATCGGTCGGTTCTATAAATACGAAAATCGATTTCTAAGGGCGAGCTTAGGAATACGAAGGCATGGATGCAGTCACATGCTGCACATGCGATCTATATATACAATTAGGTTAAATACGAACTAGTCAAGCACTATATCACAGATGTCAAACACAAGCTAGCCTACGAAAAAAAATGTTTGCCTTAAGATCGAAGCTTAGTCTATGGGGATAGGATAGTCTACTTAGTCTACTTGGGGGGGGGGGGGTCACATAATATTGAATGGAGGTCAAGTGCCTAAAAATGGGAGGGTGCGAATAATACTTTCCATTGGGTCATATCCTGCTGGGGTGATTGGCGGCTGCTCTTATATGACTAGAACGGCAACTGCGGTTTTGGGGTTGTATGATATATAATAAATACGGAATGTGTGTGTAATACTTGCAATTAAATGGGGACGATAGTCTGTGCTGGCAATCAAATAATTTACTTAAGCTACGATCGATCGATAAACGGTTAAATTAAGGGGGAGTGGGGGGGGGACAGGGCTTAAGATGACAGGGGAGGGGGTGAGGGTGTGTATCCTGAGGGGAAGCCGCAATTTCACGTGCGCCGCACGCGTTTCGACTGGCGCTTGCCACGTCTGCCAGATGTCGATTGGAGGCCTCCTCCACCACCGCCGTTGGCCACAGCACCACCTGCGACTGGCTTGGACACCTCGTTGAACTCCTTGCCGTTCGACGTCGCACTCCGCCAGCGCTGCTCCAGTTGCTCCGCCAGCTCCAGCTGCTGCTGCTGCTTCTTCTTCTGGCTCTTCTTGGGCTTCCGGTGGTGCTTCCGCGGACGACTCTTCACCCGCTTGCCGTCGCGCCTCAGCAGCTGGTACATGGTGCGCAGGAAGTCGTAGTAGTGGTGCTTCACGAACCGCATGTCGATGGAGTCCGCCTCGCCAGCCGCCGCAACCGCCGCCGCCGGGGATGATGCACCACCACTGGAGCCACCCAAATCGGAGACGCCCGTCTTGGAGCGCAGCTTCAAACGCTTGTTCATCTCGAGCCGCGAGATCTGCGGCAGCTGGGCCACCGCGACGGGAGTGGTGGCCACCACCACCACCGACGCCGCCGCCGCCGCCGCCCCCCCACTGCGCCGCTGCTTCTGGCGCGGACTCTGCGTCTGGTTGACGGCCGTCTCCAGTTCGCAGAGGATTCGCCGCGAGCTCAAAAGCAGCTCGCGCAGCTCGCGGGCGGTGCTCGATTCGCGGGTGATGGACCGCTGGTCCCAGCGGATCTGCTGGCGCCTCAGATACGCGAAGCTGGCCACATACGTTTGCATGTTGCGGTACCAGCGCTTCAGGGCAATCTGGGGGATAGAGAAAGGACCGGAGAGGGTGAGTTAGTTGGCACAATAAGAGTTTGGGTAATTGGCAAGTCATAGTCTCTTAAGGATACAAGTCCACAATTATATTTTTTTAAATATTCAAATATCCAAAAACTAGATATGGGTTTCATATATGTATAGGATGGGGTATTGTAGATAAAACCCAAGATTTAACAGTTTTAAAACCCCAAAAAAAAACATGGTTGAAAAGTACCAAAGACGGGAGCCAAATAAAATCAGGACTTAAGAATACTGCCTTTCACTTACCGTGGAATTGGGCTTGAGCTTGGGAAGGAACTTGTAGTTGTGCGTGTGGAGCGACCACATGGTCATGTTGCGGATGTCGATGGCCGAATCCTGGCTGCTGTTTAAGCTGCGGTACTCCCTGAAGGCGTGTCGCTTCAACTGCTTGAAGCTCTGCGAAAGATGAAAGTAAGGAGGCGAGGACAATGGGTTAGATGGGGTTAAGCGGTCTGGACTGGGCGAACTCACCTGCCTGGGCCGCTGGCGATTGAATCGATCCCCCGCCGAGGGATGGTAGTTGCCCCCGCAGGGATTGGCCCACTCGAGGGCCGTGGTGTTCTCGTCGAAATTGCGATAGTCGATCCAATTGCTGTTCCGCTTCCGGTGGCGCTTGCGCGGACCGGAGCTGGCCGGGATCGAGGCCGGCTGATTGGAGGAGATGGCGGTGCTCGAGGTGGTGCGAACGCGCAGGCGGTCGGTATCGATCACGGTGAGACCACCGCTGCTGGTGGAGGGGATGGTGGGGGTGCTGCGCCCCTGCGCCAAATGGGGCAGCTGGGCGGCGAGCAGGAGGGCGAGCAGGAGCAGGAGCAGCGGACGAGCCATCGCCATCGCATGGTAGACACTTCCACTTCCGCTGGCGTTTCCGTTTCCTTTGCCTGGTGCCGTGGTGCTGCCTTTAGCTCTGGTCGCAGCGCACTGCCAACCAACTGAGGTCCGTTAACGAAATCCGTGTCAAAGTCCGACAAAAACAGGCGAGTTACAGGGGTTGTACAACGGGGACAGGGGGGGGCAAAAAAGAGAGGGGAGAAATATAGACACACAATGAGTATCGAGAATGCAAAAGTAAATCAACTAAGCAGATTTCAGCATCAACGCTAGACGATCAACGATCCCGGAACTTCCTAAACATCCGAAACTTCCGAAACTTCCTAACCGCGACTCCGACAATGGGGACTGGGTGAGTTCTCCTGGTGGGTTCTTTGTGGGTTCTTGGTGCTTGGGTGGTGCTACGTTATACGTTATATGTGATACGTGCTACGTGGTGACGGGACGGATATGGTTGGCCGACCCTCCTTCAATGCAAGTGCAACTGCAACCGTACAACAGTCTGAACAATTTGGTTCGCTTTTTTTAACATTTTCTCTGCGTTTGTTTTGCTGCTTTTTTTTCGCTTTTCGTTGTTTTTGTCTTTTCCAGGGCGATATATGTGTATGTGGGGGCGGGGGAAACTTGTTAATTTAGACAATTAACTCGAGAGTAGCCTGAGCGAATACTGAAGATGGATCTATTCGTTTTAAGGATCGAAGCAAAATGCTCTGTAGAAGAAAATCGATCGCAAAAACTTCGCTACTGGTTGATTTTAATTGCGGTAAAGCGGCTACTTGGCTTTTGAACTTGGGACTTTTAAACTAATTTTGTATATTTCAATTTTTCTATTGTAGTTAAATTTTGATGGCTTTTTTTAATCTTGATGGGACTGCGCGATTGAAGATCGTATTCAGTGTAAGGTCATTTTGAAATAAAGTAAATTCAGGATATACGTTTAATGGCTTCTTTCTCTGCATACAATTAATTTAAATAATCAAAATGATTGTAAAATTTCAAGGACCTCATGAGCTGAACTATCCATTTAAATTGTTTAATTCTTAAGTTGCAGTTGCTGGCATTGAAGGATCTTTGTCGTTGGAATTCTTAGATCGTTGATCGTCGATAAATCAGTTGAAGAGTGGAGAATGTTCTTTTGCTGAAATATCCTTGGGCATATCCTTTCTCCACTCTCCACCTGAGTGTGCTCTTGAGTGTTGATCAAATTAAAAATAATACACACACCGCATTATAGTTGAAAAATAGAGTCGGCCAGGATCCTCGCAGGATCCCCGTTGTTTGCTTTGCGTCTGCGCGTTCCAAATCCGTGTGTTAATCCAAATTGGTGGTCGAGATTCTTTTTTTCCGGCACTTGCAACACAACACTCGCAAAAAAAATGTATATATTTATATATGAAGCACTTGACGAACAGTTTTTCGTTTGTGTGTTTCAGATGGTGTTCTTTGGGCTTTGGTGTTTTTAGACTGATTCGCGGACACTTCTGCTCGCGTCCGAGTGTGAAACCGAACTGAGCCCAAAGCCGCGCTGGATTTGACCAGCTTTCTTCGCTGAGAGGCTGCGGATACCCAGGCCAGAGCGTTACCGACCCGATGAGCAGCGCCAAAAGGCCGAAACCGAAACTGAAATGGAAACTGAGGCGAGCTGAGCGGCAGCCTCTGCCGACGTCGCTGCCCGATGCCGCGGCTGCCGAGCGGTACGCCATGGTCCGAGCTAGAAGAAGACCGCCGATTCGATCCGAAGATCGGCAGGCCGTGTCAGGCTCAGGCTGTCCCGCTCCCGCGCCCGCCGATCGGTATCGCATCCTCTGGGCCACCTGCGCATGTATACGTGTACCTACCTGGAGAGCCTGCCTGCCAACCGGCTGCCCTCTCGCCATCCCTCTTGCTCCTGCAGGCCGGCCAGGGTTACGCTCCGGTCGCCATTGCGACTCGAATTTCCCGCTAGCCCAATCCGCGCCACTCACTCAAAGAGAGAGCGAGAGAGTGGGCCAAGAAGAGAGGCTACCTGGTCCCCCAAAAGGCGCTGCCTACCTGTCTCTGTCCCACTCTGGCCCGTTGTGCCCAGGGTTTTCCTCTCCCTTGCTCTCTCTATCGCACTCGGCAGGCCACCGATGACCTTGAGCCTTGGCCTGCTCACCCCTCCGAAAAAGTCCTGAGATTCAAATCGGCTTAGAGAGTGATCAACGGAAATGACCAGCATAACACAACATTTCGATAATCCAGGTAAAATATTGGTTCGAGAACTATCTACTCAGAAAACGAATTCCATGTTTATTGGAAAACAATATATTAATATTAACCAATTGCTAATTTTTCCATTTAGTAATTGACCTTTTCCTTAACATTGTTATTTATCTACCAAATATTTATTTCACTTAAAATTAGTATTTCAAAGTGCACAGTATTATTAGTACACATTAAATTAAAACATAACCCACTAATCGTTGATAATGAATGTAAATTGTAAATATTGGTTTAGTTTTAGCACTTACCTAGTCGTAACATGAATTTCGTAATGAGAAAATGTTGCATTTCAAATGTTTTAAAAGTATAAGTAAAAAGATTAAGTTTGTCGACCATTAAAATTTGAGAATATTTGCATTGATATAAAAATAACTGTAACTAAGAACTACAATATTTCAGCCTCAAGACTGACAACCTATTCTTTAAAATTAAAATCTTTAAGTGAAGTATGGATGGATTAATTAATTTTGGATTTTAAAAAGTTTCAACTATTCAGTTAATTGGTTAATTCTATGATAGATATTATGGCATATATATTTTTGCATAAATGTTATTGTAAAATCTTAAACACTTTTTGTAAAAATTTTGATTTTTATTGGAGAGATTACGGCGAGGATTATTGACTTACCACTGTTGCAATTCTGGTTTGGTTGGCAAACCTTTGTAAACACCCGCCCAGTGGGCCAGGTACTCCCGACACGGGTATCCCGATGACCGATGCCCAATGGCCGGTACCTAGGCCTCCCCTTTTCCCTTTTCAGTTTCGAGGGCTTGCACAATTGACGGGCTAATTAAATCGAGAGTTGTGCTGCATTTGTTTTTGTGGGCAGCGCGTACGGAATTATGGCCGCATTGTTTGGCAGCCCAAAACAGCTGTAGATGGCCAGATAGCGGAGCCGAGGACCAAAGGGCAACGGGCAACGGACAACGGACAGTTCGTCCTTGCGTCTAACCGTAAGTGCAGCAACTGCTGCAGGAAGCAGCCGTGTCGCGCAGCGGGGCCACTCGCCTTGATTTTTGCCGCGGGGCAGGACTCGGAGGACTCGTTGGACTCGCAGGACCCACAACCCACAGAGAGGGACTCGCACATATATCAAGGTGGCAGCACACCTTTTGTGCCTCCTTTGGGAAACGGGCAAATAGGCGGCCAGTCGACCAGTCGGCACAAAAATAAAACACACATCGAATCCCAGACAATTCGCACCCGGAGCAACAGCTTCATCTAGGGGGTATGGTTGTGTCTATATCTACCCTAGATGGACACGATTATTGCATTGATGAGCTCCTGCTGCTGCTGTCGGTACACACACACACAGGACTGCCGGCGGGTGGCAAAACCCCATCCCCAGTCTCTACTTGCAACTCCTTGCCGACTTTCTGTTTTACTTGCGATTCGTTCTGGACAACAAAAATATTTTGCTACAAAATTGAGCTGTCCTGTGAGGTCCTCTCGGCTGGCATTGAATGCATTGTGTCCTGTCATGGTGTAATTTTTTAGCGGCGTAGCGAATGCTAAGGATACGCTTTAATTGCCGCAGCGAACACCTCGACCTCGAGAAGGAAGGTTAACCAACAGAAACAAACACAGATGCATTCGCAGCAACGAGGAGAACCATCCGTCATTACACGCTGCTTAGCTCCTGTCCCTTTCGCAGGACCTGATCTGATCCGCCTACCTACCGACCCTCCTGTCTTCGTATCGCAGGAGGAGTAGGAGTAGAAGGCGGCGGAGGAGGAGAAGGAGGAGGTGTGAGTTTCTCGTTCCTCCGAGCCCAGTTGTTTTGATGTTTTTTGATTATGCGTAAAATCGCTCGCTTTATCAAGATCTCCAACTGCAATTCTCACATCCGAAACGGTAACTTAAACGGTTAGTTAGACGATTTGCTTGTTTGTTTGTTTCCGCCGCTCATCCGATCTTCAATTGCCGTTGCAATTGGCATTTGCTATGGACCTTAATCTCGCACGGAAGGGATTGATTGAGAAAATCGTTAGTCGGCTTTGACCCTTTGATTTAATTTGCCTCATTGAAATCGTATATGATAATGAACTCAATAAGGGATAAGTAACAAATATGTTATAGGTTCGATATAAGGAAATGCTATTATTGTATTATATTTTCATTCTTCCTTTAATTTCGATAATAACAAATAATATCAATCAATTTAATAAACTATTTAAAGTATGCGAAATTTGGTTTTAAATATGACTTATTATCATCTACCTCTTTAAGGGTATAAGTTTTTTTTATATATTGTTATACACAATACAGTGAAAACATTAAATTATAGATATTAAACCAGAAGTGATGTTACAAATATTATATTATACCTTAGCATATTACGGTTTATGTTTGCTGAAATTGGCAAAAACAGCTAGACTTATTTTTTTATAACTTCTTTACATTTTTTACAACAATTTTATATATACTACCGTTCCCATGGCAGCTATGTAAATGATATAGTTGTTTGATTGTGGCCGTTTTGAATGTATATCACTTTATAAAGCAGAAAAACCCCGTATATAGCATAAAGACTAAGAGACTAAGTGTTTAACTAAACAGACATTGGACCCAGAAAAAATATCCATTTTAAATTGCGGCCATGTCTTCACTTCACTTGCAGAATACACATTTTTTTTAATATTATGCTTTTGCTTGATAAACTTAATTCAAATCTTGGTAGTGATTGAAAGCAAAGGGGATTTGTTTAATTTCCATGTTGGCATGTCTCTTGTTCTGGACACTTTAATTAAATCTGGACCGACTGCGTTAAGAGAGGGGAAGGGGGGAGGGGCTGTGCACTGCGACCTCGCACTTGTGTGGGTGGCACAGCCCCATCGGGGCCGCTGCTGATTGGCCCGCCGCCCACTGAGCGTCACTCCGAAGACGAGCGGCCACGAAGCGGCTTGGCCAATAACAGCGTGGCGAACACGCTCCGAGAGAGAAAGATAGAGAGAGAGAGTGTGGGGGAGAAGCGCCAGAGAGAGCTAGAGAGCGGCCGCACACTCGAGTGGAAGAGCGGCGGAGGTGCCAACAGGTTGCATTGAGAGGAAGAGGTAAAGAGCGCGAAAAGATAGAGAGCGGCGAACAGGTTGTCTCGAACGCAATGGAATAGAGCGGAGTCGAGTGGATTTTCATTCATAAACCCCGCTGTCTGCCATCCGCTGCAGCAGAGCAGCTGCTCTGCCGCTGACTCAATGCGGCGCAGCTTGCTGGGAATTTACAGCTACGCCGGTTTTGGGGGACTGACGCCATTGCCACGCGAACTGCACCTATCCCCATACCCATACCCATCCCCATCCCATAGTTGCACCATCTTTGATCGCTCCTAACCGATCCGATTACCTTACTCAACCCTCCCCAGGAAAATACCAAAAAAAAAAAGAGGGGAAAAAAGGACGGGGAAGCCAGCGAAGTGGCAACGGTAAAATTAGTCCCTCCTCGAAGGCAACACAATACCCCTGCAGAACAAGCCACACTACAGATACGAAAAGATCCTACAGATACTACAGACACTACAAACAGTATCTCCACCACACGCACAGATCACGCGACAATTGCCCAACATTCTGCCTAATGGTTCATGAGTCACTAGCCCGCGGTACTTGGGGTTTTCTCAAAGCCCACGGCGAGCGAGTGAAAAACCTCGTGTATCTAGCGGAACGTGCCCCGGGCACGAGCTATACGAGCTATTCGAGCTATTCGAGCCATAATGGGATGGGTCGGGGCACAGGTGACGAGTCGGGCCGAAAATGGAATCTCGCACATTCCCCAAGTATTTCCGATCGGGGGAGTGGTAATTGGCATATTGGGCTAAGGGTCTAAGGTATCAGAAACAACGATCTACAGCGTAGTCACCCTACAACCCCTTCTATGCCATTGCATCTTTCAATGAACTCCAATTACACTGAAAGCCCAAGTCTATAAACTTTACCTAATACTAAAAATAATAAGTTATTTAGGCTGGAAATAAACTCTTAAACTCTTCGAGCTTCCCAAAAATCTGATCTGAATTCTCAAAACGGAAAAGCTGAAACAAACTATGAGTAGAGATATTCAATGCAAAATTCAATATTTAATGACTCATAATTTTTGCTTGTAAAAATTATATTTTGGATTAAGCTAATGTATAGTTATTGTAGACGTTTTAAATTTCATTGACTCACAACAATTGCAACAGAATCATTTGACCTCTCCAATCACATAGGAAATGAATGTACAAATCTGAAAATTGGCCATTCATAATTTGAACATCGGTTGCTGCGTTCTAGTATTTTATGAATGACTTTTTATGGACCCTATCAGGAAAACCACCGAAGTCCCCTGATGCAATGAAAACTATTCTGCTATTGCGCATAATCAGTATACTTTATTCATAGTCGTAATACAATAGTACAAAAAAATACACTTAAGACATATTTTCATAAATTATCGAGCCTACAGGGCGGTGAATGCGTTGTGTGAGTATGGTCATATGTATATAAATAGGATGCGAAAGCGATATAAATACGATGGGATGTGCTAGGGACCAATAAGTTATAATAAATAATAGGGTCTAAGGCGGGTGTGGTTGTCTAGTTGACAAATAGGATACAAATAGGATTAGAGTACGTGATTGAGATTTCAGTGGGTCATCGGAGGCGATTCTTTTTGGTTTGGCTTGTTGTTCATGGAACGTGGCTGGAACCAGCCGATTGGGATGGATTGAGCAGCTGGTCGTACTTGTACTCCACGATGGTCAACACCTTTATGGTCTCCACGGCGGTCAGGAACGCGACGTCGGGGGTGCTGTTGTTGTAGTGTGCGTTCCGCGGGTTGCACGATTCTTGCGTGTTAGTTACATTCAGTGCCTCGTGGATATTGTGTTCAAAGAACTCCGTAAGGTAGAAGTAGAAGCAGTGCCATTGTTGGTAATTGTATTTAATGTTATCGAACAGGCTCTGCAAAATAAGCAGGCTCTCCAAGATGACGGGCATCTCCTTGGTGATATTGGTCACCTTGCCCTCGTAGGAGAACTCCTGCGTGTGACTGTCGAACTGAACCTTTTTCACTTCAGCCTGCAGCGGATGATTCAGTGCCAGATCGTGATAACTGTACTTTTTGATTTGACCCTCCAAAGAGCGGTTGTCTGCATTTTGTTCCAACTATTTAATCGGAAGTGGGAAATTAGCATTTCTGGTGCCCCTTAGCATTAGATTGATTCACTTACATATTCGTTGAGCAGGCAGATGATGGCCTTCTTAGTGTTATTGGCCACTTCGCGAGCCGATTTGAGTTCCTTGATTCGCTGTACATTTTCTAAATTCATATTGCTGCAAAACGGCCTTCCCTCGGTTGTGTTCGTAATCAAACGTGTCAATTTCTTTTGCCTTGCGAGCTCCGGAGGTGTAGATCGCGCGTGCTGGTGGTGATGGTGTTGCGGCAAGATTAGGTGTAGTCCTCGAGCTTTGCGTGGGGCGGCGGATGTCCCCGTTGGCCAGCTGGCGGCGACTGTGAGAAGCAGCAGGACACCCAGGAGCCAGCACTTGGCGGGAGCTGTAAGGATAGAGGTTGAGCATCAGTAGGGTTTCAGATCAGGCAGGGTTTTTGCATCTCTACAGTCGGTAAGAGTAATAGGACAAAAACATATAGATCGTAAGGAAAAAATCAGTTTACTACTACTAAGTCAGTAGTACCTATATGCTTTTAAATCACTACAATCGGTACAAGTAGAAGAGAATCACAGATAGAACACTGATTGAAATTAAAATAAAAGTAAAGGAAATGTAAATAACACTCGGATTGTTAAGTAAAAATCAGTTTACTAGTACTAAGTCAGTAGTACTTATATGATTTTAAATCACTTGAACCGAATGAATTGAAATTAAAATAATGTAAAAGAAAAGTAAAAGTAAGAGAAATGAAATTGTTAAGTAAAAAGTAAAGGGATACAAGAGTTTCGCTCTAATAATTCACTTTATCACTTCCACTTTTAATTTACGCTTCTGTCAGTTTCTGTTTGCCGTGAACTAATTTGAGGCTAGACGCGCTTCCCTGTTTGCCAAGTGACACAGATCTAGATACACGCTTTATGGCGGACGTGATTCAGAGGTGCGGAGATGCAGAAAAGCGGATATGCGGATATGCGGATATGCGGATATGCTAACTAGGCACTTACACACTCGGCCGAAACTGGGGAGGGCGGCGGTTTGTTGAGAGCAGGTCCTTGGCGCAGGACTCTGTTGCAGTCGCTCCGAGGAGCAGGACTCCGAGGTGGCAATTGCAGTGGTAGTGGCCATTTCAGACTTGTTTTTTTTTTTGACTTATGGGATCAGTACTCGCGATCGCGATTTTTGGACTGTTCACTTGGTTGGTTTTTGGCTTGTGACACTGAGTTTATTTTATTTTCTTGTGCTAGGGCTCTGAGCGCTTAAAAGCTGGCGTCTGGGCTCTGCGAGATCTTACAGTTAATGAGGATTTGGGGCACACTGCCTCTACTTAAATACCGCAATCCGGCGCTATCAATAGCCGAAGCCGCACGAGCGGCACAGCGCGTGGCCGAGCATTTTTTTTGTATAAGTTTTACGCACACACATCAACTACTCTCAGGCAGTGCTCGCAGCAGCAGCAAGTGCGGTACCAACAACAACCATAGCAAACAACATCATCGGCAAGCGGTCGTTGACGACAGTATTTTCGCCAGCCAATGGAATCGTAGCATCTTGACGCGTGCTAACTGAACTTCGATAAAAGCTAAATGCGAAAATAAACCTTACTCTCACGGAGACCTATTCTTTGCAATGGGCTATTGATCAAGAATAAGTCGACTCTGACTCAGACTCAGACTGGGAATAGCTATTCCCTGGTCGGTAATAGTATTAGTGATGGCACTTGCCATTGACGTTTGTTTTCTTCCTGTTTTTGCAGAAAGTGAGTTGCCTCTCCCACCCGATCCACCCGAAGTAATTTATGCACACACGCTTCATGGCCCAAAACGGATGTCACATTGAATTCTTGTACCCTACACTTTGGCATGGGATTTGATCGGTACATGCGCCTTGCCTCAGAAACTATTTCAAATTTGGTTGTTACTTATCTAAGACCGAGATTTGAGAACAATACATTTTGCTTTGCCAGCCTCTTTTCTGATTTTTATTTAAAACAAGGTAGATAGCCACCTTAAAACCCACACATTTTAACCTGTTTGATAGCTGGGTAAAAGCGCATTAGCTTGATTCTTGGAATGCAAGTGGGGAACGCATTTGAACTGTTGCTATTATAATCAAATTAGCTCTAGATCCAACTATACTGAATCACCGAAGAAGTATATGAATTTGAAGACCCATTGAGAAATCAAACACAGGGACTATCTTCTCGATAGAGCTCCCGTTTACTTTGGTCGACTTTGCTGTGGTTGCGGATGACTTGGTTGCTGCGGTTTACTTGCGATTATTGAGGCGGGAGCCACTTGCTTGGCATGAACGCGTCGTTCCTTAGGCATTTCCGATCGATCGCCTGGCACGTGCCCGCACCGAACACTGAATGGAAACGGCCTGGCCGGCGGACTTGACTTGACTTCGCCGCTTCACTTGACTTGGCTTGACTTGACTTGACTTGGCCAACGTGGACTTCGGCCAAGAGATGGGCAGTATGGCGGCAGTATAAGAGACCCCAGACAGACAGTCTCTTCTATTCCGCTCACTGCACGGCACCCACACACGCCAGGAGTTACTCATTCGCTCTGACGATCGCACTTGATTAGCCTGATTCCTCCTGGGATTTGATAAGTACGAACTTCCGCAACGGAGTCCAGTTTTACCCAATTACTTTTTTTATGAAGCGGTTGCGGGGACGGGGGCATTTATTTGCCAGTCCAGATTGCAAGCGCTGTTTTCCCCCCCAAACCCTCCTGGCTTTGATTTTACACAACCAACTATTGTTGACTGCTAATTATCACACTAGGTAATGTGCTAACTTTGGGCACGCACAAATCTCGGTCTATCCAAAGTTCCGCTATCTTCCGTTCCTGTTTGCCTTTCCCTTTTTAGAAATGACCATCCATTGATGATTACTTCCACAGTGACGTACATTGTACTAAACATAGAGCCGTACTAGCTATGTGACGGAAATATCGCAACAGAATTGCGATCGAAAAGGTTGAGCCAATCTGTGGGTCCTCATTACCATGTATGGCAAATATAAACAGAGAAATACTTCGCGTTCTACGGCACACGCGACTGACGCTGTCGCAGTTTTTATCAGCCAGGGTACAAGTGTACTTCTATTTTTAATTCATTCATAAGGCAAGAATCATTTGAAGCCCCTGGGGTATTACTGCCGCTCAGAAAGCAGGAAACTTGGTTGCTATTTGGGGACAAATTAATGTTCTAATGTTTAAGGACTCCTAATTTTCTCAGCTCTCACCATTGTCACAATATCTCGCATCTCTAAGATTTTCAGCAGTATTTACTTGTATTTGATTATTTTTAAATCGGTCACTTTTAGCTTTACTAAAAGTTTCCTGTGAGGCTGATATTAAACTTTCCATTAAAATCGACTGGATTGTTGTAAGAGCTATGAAACGACTTGAAAATTATGTATTTTATTGAATACAAAGAAATCCCTGGCTTACAGAATGAATGAATGACGAATCAGAGCGCTTAAGACTCAGTCCTTTGATAGCTTCCTATTCGGACTGTGATCCTCTACCCTTGACCGACTGAAACGGGCGGTGACGCAAATGCAGAACCCAGAACCGCTGTGAGGAAATACCCCAGTCGGCGACTCGGATTGCCGTCACCTGTCATTTGGGAGTGGGCCAAACTGACCACAGACACTCTGGGCAGTTTCAATACGATGGGTAAATCACCGAGCGCCGTTGCTCCGTATTTGCTTTTGTGGTTAGAAACTGCCCCGGCTCTCTAGCTTTCCGAGCTCTCCAGCTCGACGCGTCATCTCCCATTCAGGCCAATTCGGATTGGATCTTGGATCTTGGATCTCGGATCTGAAATTGGGGGACCAAGGGGATCGGGGGGACCGGGCACACTCACTTGTTTGCCCAGCGCATTATATTATGAATGGAGCGCTGTGGGAAGCACTTGGGATGTCGTACCGCCTAGCCAAACAATTAAACAAGGGGCTCGGATCGACAGGTGAGAGAAGAGGCTATTTTTGGCACTGGCCATCTTCCACAAGTCATCGAGGTGCGAGCTGTGACGCACTGGGGTTCCCTGAACCGGGTTCCTGTTACCTTGTTAGCTTAACTGGGTACATTAAGTATACGCCATATTAAGTATACGTAACGAAACAACTTAATCAACTACAAACTTTATTTGGAACTCACCTCAGTTTAGTCACGCGAAGTGGTTGAATCAAAAGCCACAGAGTGCTGCAATAAAATAAATAAATAAAAGGGATATCATATCATTTCAAGGCCACAAACAAACTGGAAATTAATCAGTTGGCTTTCCCTCACCCCAAAAGTAGGCAATGTTCAGGGGAAAAGCTTTCCATACAAAAGCTTTTTAAAAGCTAGAAATTGTGGACTGCTTTCAGGCACCTCTACTAACAGTCGCGTCCCTCACGGACTCTGATCAAGTAGAAAGTCTCAAAAAGTGGCATTTGTGAATTTACCCAGAGAGATGCTGCTATTTCACTTGCCCCCTCTCCCCTTTCTCACACGTTTCTTGTTGGCTTGATTTATTTTTGGAACTAAACACGAAATGTGATGGCAACTGGTAACAGACAACAGGTCATTCCCGCAAACGTTTAACCCTGGACTATACTAACAATTTTCAAATTCTCAATAGCCAATATATACTAACTATTAAAAGAAGTTTAAAATTGTTATTTTTATTCACAAAGGAAAATTGATCAACTTAAAAAAAATTTTTTTTAGGCCATATTTATATTATTAATTGTCAAAACTTTCACAACTCGATAATTTTAGGCAGATAACAATAATTATTTTATAATAAATTTATTGATTTAATAAAGTAAATAATTTATATATGAACTAGTTAATTGTGTCTCGTTAAACTCCTAGTTTCCCCTGTGAATGTTAGCTTTTGGGTCAGAATTTTTAAATAAAACCATAAAAGGGTGATCAAAATTTGGCTGGCTAAAGAAAGCTAGAACGCCCCCGACAAGCTTTTCTATCTCTCTCACCTATGTTTGCTGCTTTCTCATGCGCTCTTCCTCTCCTTGTCTGACACCCATGTTTTAATGGCTATTGGAGATCTTCAAAGCGGTTTCCCATTCGCATTGTTTACTCACCTTTTTCGCTGGGGGCAGCTTTGTCGACGGTGTCACGGTACGAATGCTTTTGCCGCAGGTGTCCAGGCAAGCCCACGTTAATTATGTGCCGCGAAAAATTCACGAAAAATCCCCGAAATGGCGATGGATCTGAACACTTTTTACTCCACACAGGTAAGGGCTTAATGAGGCGATTGAAAAACAACGGACGCAGCAGAACCGGCGATGTCGAATGATGAAAATAAACTGAGTCAAACCGAACAGAATCGACTGCTGGATGAGCTGAAATGGGCAGCGATGTTCGCAGCAGAGCAACTGCGTTTTATTTGACTAATGTAAGTACTGACAGACCCAAAAGTCCGTCCTATATACCTGTTTCATTGTTTTTAATGTTCCCACGTATCACGAGGCCTGTTGTTCCCAAATAACTTAGAAAATTTAAGGGTCTTTTCCAATGCAAGTGATCGTTTTACTATTTTACTGTAGACAAATGATTGTTAATGCATGACACTTCAAATATCTTTACTAGAAATCCACTTATTAGCGACATGACTGTAAAAAGGTTTGTGTATGCGCTATTCGTGGGTTTGAGTACGAGCTACAAAGCGCATGGTTTGAAGGTCTGCTGTGCATTAGAAAAAATTTAAAATACACAATTTTAATAACATTTTCATTACAATAGAAAGCATTTCTATAAAAAAAAGTCTAGGAGCTTAAAGACCTACGATGAGAAAGAGACGACGCAGATTGGTATATAATAATCTAATCGTAAGAACCGAAGTTTTGAAATGCCTATTTGGCTAAATCATTAAGCGTAATCTGGGCAACAATGCGATGACAATGGCAGCTGTCAGCTAATTAGCCAACGAGGGTTGTGGCCTATAGCCTTCAATACCTGTTAGCCCTCCTGATTTGCACTTTCCTAATCACATTGGGACGTTTGTGTGCAGCTTTTGAATTTCACGCTTGAAATGCGACCATAGTTGGCTAGTATATACCTGCCACACACCACCTAACATCCACCAAGCCCACCTTGAGGGAATACACCCTGGCAGAAGGTATGCCCAATGGAACTGGACAACAACCACATTTGAAAACAAAAGCTTTATAAAATGATTTGCCCCTACGACCACTAACATTACTCATACGTATATAAATAAACCTTCCTCTTTCGCACAAAGTTTTGTAGGGTTTTTACTTACTTGAACGGGGTTAATAATCTGAAGCAAGACTCACAATAACTCATTAAAGTGAAGGTCAAATGAGCAAAAATGAAAAAATTGCGAAATAAATGAGAAATAAAAATATATAGAAAGCTAAAAAAAGATGGTGAGCTTTGGCAAATCATAATTTATAATTTCAATTATTAATATCAAACCTTTCAAAGCTCACCTCAAAATTTAGATATAGTAAAAAGTTGCTAAATTGAACAAATTTATTGATCCAAACCAGATTTTTAGAGGTATGCCCTATTGAATTATGGCTTTAGTAAATATAATTACTAAATATTGACTGACACAATAGGTTTTGAATATCCAAAGAATATGTTTGCTTATTATGATCAGATCGTGGAGTGTTTACACATTCAACATCTCACCTCATTCAGTTCTATTTTTATATATCAAAAGGTAATATGTTAAAAGGTGATGTAACGATGTATAGAAATGGTCCACAACTTGAAAACATAATGCTTTTACAGATGTGCGAGTTTGTAAAAGTCCAGAAAACTTGAAAGCATTTGTAGGGTATCCGAGGGTCCCTTTGGGTTCCCGCTCCACTTGTCTGGGGATGCGAAAGCCGATGCTGATGTGGCCCCGCTGGCTGTTTGGCCAGTCAAGCGTTGCATAAAGCGCATTAACATTTAATGCCTGCTGCCGGTAGGTCCCTTTTGTCCCCCCTGCCCCTCTGTCCCTTCGCCCCCTCGCCCCTCCGCTTTGCCGTTCCACCTGGCCAGGATGGCCGTCCATCCTGCCGAATTTGCGTTGCACACTTCGAGGCGCCGGTCGTGGCGAAACATTGAGATGAGCTGAGTTGGGCTGGATTGGGTTGGGTTGGGTCGAATGGATGTTTGATTTATGACTGGCCGCCGTGGGGCAGGGATCGGTGGTGTGGTGCCTCGGTGGTTCGGTGGCATGGTGGTTCGGCAGGTGGGTGCACTTGGCAGCCCCGCAGGCCATACCTTAGTGCCATCAATCAGGGGCAGGCGAAACCCAAGCCAGCCAAACAGACTCACAAGACCCCTTCAAAAATTAAATCGGCGGCAATCTGTACACATAAACTATTTATTTCCGTATATATATATATTCCATATGTATATATAGATGTATATGGGTGTATATTTAGCTGTATATTGGGTATTGTAAGTGTGGTAAAGTACTCTCGCCTGGTGCACATCCTCTCACGGCCGCCAGCCCCTCCGATTCCTGCTCCTCTCCTCTCCTCCAGGATTCATCTCGCCGTGGGTGGTGGGTGGTGGGAGGTGGGTTTTTGTGGGAGGTTGGCCTTATAGAGAGCATACACATATTTATATATAGAGATATATAAGTACTTGTTGCAACTTCGTTCGTCCACTCGCAATTTAGTTTAGTTGTTTTGTTTTTAGCTTGCTTTCGTTTTGTTTTGTTTCGTTTACATTATGTGTCATCAATTGATTGTTTTACATTCGGTTGCATTTGGATTTTGGCTTTAAAAAAAACATTACTCCTCTCGTTATCCCCTTGCTAGCATACGCATAATTATGTACAAACGTATTCCCAAAGATTCCTTCCCTTATTTACATAGATATATAGCTTAGTTATATATGCATGTCAGCCACTACGTGCCACTCTACACTCTCCACTCTCCACTTTACACTCTCCACTCCTCCAGCTAATCGCTCATTTGTCTCTTTACTCACTAGATTATGCGTAGTTTTGCCCACTTTTCCCCCTGGGTGCTGTACACCCACTAAAAGCCCTAAAACAAAAGCGTGGAACGAAATCATAGGTCGCTCGAGTCGAAGTACACACATTGGATATAGCATAAATCGCTATGATGTTGGATACCACACACAAAGAGTGTTGCGGGTATAAACATACTATATGTTATGTATTGAGTTGGGCGCCAGTGAGCACTACTCTTTGATAGTACCTTTACTGTAGTCGGTGGTAACCGCTTGCTCGTATGTAGTCCTAGGCCGAACACACACACAAACATACATGTGGATAAACATTAACAACAATTGAACAACGGTAATTACAATTGCACGACATCAACAACGTCAACAACAATGACAATGGCACTCCGTGGCAATAATCAGCTACAAGGCATTTGGATTTGCAGTTTTCGCTCCAATCATCGCATTCTGCTGTCAATTCAAATTTCAATTAAAATTCACTCCATTTCGGCACTTGTCGCTGATTATTCCTGGGGTGTTTTCCTTGGATGCATTATTATCTTTATAGGTACACATATATACGAATATGCATGTAGTGTTAAATCTATGCACATTCAATGCTAAATCAATCGAAAAAAAATTGCATCCATATAGTATTTGTATACTACGTATGGTATACACGTATAGTATATGCGGTATATATATATACAACTATCAAAAATAGGACAAATAGAACTTGAGAGTTGCTTTGGCCTTCAATGCGGTACTTGTCTGAACTTCTAGATCGTTTTAGAAGCCTCAACGAACCCCTATTTGACCTCCCCCTCCCAATTTTTGTACACATTTATTGTTATATAGTATAGATCGGTAAAAGCAACGATATAGAACAACAGTTAGGATGATGAGCAAAACGTGGACAACTTTAGTTAGCTGCGACCAAGAAAGATCGCACTTGTAAATAGTTTTAATATATATATATATATTATTTACGTGTAGATATTGTATATTTATATGCTTGTATAGATATAGATCAGTATTATGGTAAATCTGCCGCTCTTTGGCACTATAACACACTGAAAGTGAAAGTTAACTTTGGGTTACCTCCTTGAGACACACGCACATGGAAATGGAAGTCTAAAACACGTTTTTCGGGCACATCGAGATACAATTATTGATATAGATGGATAATCGTTAAACATACGCGAATGGTTATTGTATGTGTGTATATTGAGTAGTTTCGGCACTACATTGCAGTCCATTCCATTAAATCCATGCCCTAGGCAGTATTGCCCATCATCAACGCCATTGATTGCCTTTGATCAAATTGACAAATTGACAAAGCCAAATGCCGCATATAGAAACACACTTGATTGATTGCAATATTGACTGATTTCTTGTTTGTTTGTTCCTACTCTCTCTCTCTCTATCTCTCTCTTTCTTTTTCTCTCGCCATCTCTCACTGTTTTTCTATCGCCCTCTCTGTTTGCCAATTTCTGCAATTGCGAATTTCCAATTTGAATTTCTTCGTTAATTGATTTTCAAACTTCTTCCTGGGGTAACTTCCCCAACTCCTCCTCCGCCTTCTACTTTTGAGCTTTTCTGCTTTTGCTTGCGTATTATTTTACGTTTAACATTAAATATTCAACGCGAACATTAATTTATATTCGATTTTCAATTCAGCTCGGCTCGATTTAGTTTGGCATTTGCTGTTTGTCGATTTGCGCCTCGAGTAAGCTCAGATTGTACATACAAATTACATTTATTGTGTGGTTTACATTGATTAAAACTCTTGAGTCAGTAGACATGTATTTTCTTATTCTCCATAGATATATGTATATATATATTCGTATATTGTAACGTGTTTATATGCACGTAGCCGTGCTGATTCCATTGTGTGTGTATTTATTGTGATATGATTGTGGCAACCGTTGGGGCATCCTCCTTCGCCCGGTATTTATGTATGTGTATATAAAGAGCGATTTGTGCATCTGCCACGGTTGCCTCATATGTCTGTGTATTCCAATTGATGTGCCAACTGCATGGGCACCAAAAAAAATATTAACCATATACTGGTAGTTTCGTTGCCATATAGGCAATGCGTAAACAACTCCTCCTTTACTTCTTTATCCCGGGACTTACTCCATCGCTGAGACCCGCTTAAATTGCTCTGCTCGTAGAAAAATATTTGTATATTCTCTGCCCTCCCTTCTCATTCACCTTCTCGGCTTCCGGTTACAAATGGTATGCAAATATATGAGAATATATATATATATATATAAATATACATATATATCTATCTGTATCTTTAGCTATATGAGGTCTGTCCCGTCGTCGATGGAGTGAAGTGCTGTGTCCTAGCTCCACTAATTCCACCTATTCCTGATGTCTGATTTTCCCTATTCCTGACTCCCCTGCAGCGTTGCCTTAATCTCTATCGTTTATCGCTTAACTATCTGCCTATCGATCACTGTTTTTATCGCTTATCGTTTCGCATTCGCTTTCGCACTTACCAATACCGTTATGCGTAAAGTTACTTGTACCGTTAAAAGTTGCTCTCTTGTACTCTTTTGTTCACCGTCCATCGGATTCGGTGTGCTGATTACTGTTTTCTGTGATTTCTGTTCCGTTCGTGTTTGTGTGGGTTACCTGTTACAGGTACAGTAGGTCACTGTGTATTGCTGTTAAGTGCTTATTTCTCCATTTGATCCTTCAATTACGGCTCTCTTATTGTTAGCGTCTCTATGTGGTATCAAACGTATCAATATGTTATAACTGTCAGGTATCGATAGCCTCCGCCCTTTTATTGTTCCAATTTGCTAGGTATACGGTTTACTTCGCAGTTCTAATTTCTCATTCAGTTACCGTCAGATCAACTGTCACTGTCGGCGAGATGCAATGCATTGTTTTCAGTGTTTGATTTAATGGACGTGTTGTGAAGCCTTTGCTGTCAATTATTATATATTGTTCATGGATTATTTTCATCTCCTCTTGTACGAAAGCGAGACTTTGCTGTGCCATTGATCTGCCACTTGGCTTTTGTTTCTATGTTATGTATGGGATGATTCGAATGGTGATTACTGCTGCTGTGCTTATTGTTCACTGGGTTGTGTAAGCCTCCAACTTTGTTCGTTTTTCAATTTCGGATTTCGATAAGGATTTTTGGATCTCAGAGGTGCAAGTAGCTGGCTAAAAGTGCACAGAGAACGAGATACACAAATTTAAGGTTCAAACTTCTACTTTTGCTTTAATTTGGTTGCATGAAATCAAAAGCTTTGGTATTGCCAGATACTTCAACTTAAAATTGAAACCTATAAACGATTCGAAAAATATTTCGATTAGGAAATTTTATGGTAAAAAATTAAAATATTTGTAGTGTTATTGAATTACTCGAGGTCATACGTTGGTTATATTTTAATTTTAAATGATTTAACAAATCATACTTACACCAAAATAAAAATTTTAATTTTAAGGTAATAAGCTTAACGCTTAAGTCTTAAAATAAATTAAAAGCAGAATTAAGGTATCAGTATTATTTAAATTCTAAACTACTTAAGGCCTATGCTTTGTGTAATATATGTCTTTAAACCTTTTCAAAATTTATTTACTCCTATTTAAGAACATACAAAAACAAAAATGCTTGAAAATAACCATCTATGGCTGAAGCGGCGCCATTTTGAATTTTTACTAAACATTGAAAACATAAACATGACCATATACTAAGGCTTAATCCCTTAAAAAAATTGAATAAAGTAAAAAAAAATAAGTAAGACATAAATAAGTGTGATTTATATATAATGAAACATAAAAAATACATAAATATAAATTTAATAAACTGCAATGATTGCCAGGCTGTACTCACCGCTGTGTTGCTCTAGCCGGGACTCGACCCATTGCTTTACTTGCCTCTGCGGCCCCCGACCTATTTGACGAACAGGTCCTTGAGCGTGGCGCATAGCGAGGCGTCGCACGTGTCCTTGGAGTCGTCCTCGTCGGCCTTGCCAAACCAGTTGAGGGTGGAGCGCACGGCCCGTCCGGCCTGCGATTGAGCGGAGCTGCTGGCGGAGGCTCGACTGCGCCGTGCCCCATGGGCGGGACTGCCGCTGGCGCTGCCCGAATCCTTGCCCCCCGACTTGGGCGTGGCTCCGCGGGCGGCCGCCGAGGTGGAGGCACCACTCCCCGATCCCGATCCTCCCATGCTCGCATTGGAGCTCTTGCGCAGGAATCCCTCGATGGCGGTGCCCAAAATGGTGGCATCCACCGTCGCCTTGGTTGACTCCGCCCAGGTCTTCTGCTTGCTCCGCGGCTTCAGCTTCGGCTTGCCGGAATCCCCGCCCAACGGATCCTTCTTCTGCAGCCGCTCCAGCACATCCTTGGAGAGGGCCACCGCCGAGCTCTTGCTGCGCACGCTCTTCTTCCGCGCCAGCGGCGTATGCCGCTTGGCGAACCATCCGGTCAGGGTGGCCGACCCGTTGTCCTGCACATCGCTCACCAGCTGCTTGGCGTTGTTCAGCAGGGACACATCGAAGCTGTTCGAACGCGTGGAGCGGCCGGCATTCGGGTCGAGTAGGCCGCCACTGCCGCCGGCTGCACTGCCTCCTCCTCCGCCGCCGCCGGCACCGCCACCTCCGCCGGCAACTTGCAGGCCGCCCTGGGCCGTCGGTGTGGGTGTGGCACTGGTGGCCCGTCCGCGAGCCGCCGCCTGAAATGTCTGGCTGAGGAACGGACTGCTGGCCGTGGCCGTGGCCGAGGAACTGGCACTGGAGCTGCCATCCCGGCCCTCCGGTTCCGGCCGGTGCATGTCCATGGCCGAGCTGGTAAGCGAACTGAATATGCCGGCGATGTCCGAGCGACTGCCCAAGAGTCCGGTGCCGCTGCCCGACTTCTTGCGACGCGTGGAGGCCCGAGTGGAGCTCTGCTGCTGCTGCTGTTGCTGCTGCTGCTGCGACTGTGGCAGCTCGGAGGCGCGGCGAAAGGAGCTGGCCAATCCCGGCTGAGGACACTCCGAGTAGCGTCGGTTGGTGAAGCGTCTGCCCGGCTGGCCGGTGCCCGCCTCGTCGACGGTCTGCACCTCGCACACCTTCTCGTTGGAGGAGGTCCAGAGCTTCAAGCGCGCCTTGCGCGACTGCAGATAGATGTCGTCCATGATGTCCAGCTGCAGATTGTGGATGCTCCCGATGGGGTCTGTCGATGGGGGTCCCGTGTTGCTCTCGCGCCGAGAGTTCAGCACACGACTGCTCCTGGAAGGGGGACACAGCACAAAAAAGGGGGGTAGTCCATTGTGGAGCGTAATTAAATTCCAGGAAACACAGGACGAGTGCATCCCTTTGATAATCTCTATGGCTTCCAACAACATCCAATTAATATAATTAGAACTCATTCAAAAGAAACCTCCACATATGTGGCTAATAACCCTATCACTTTCTGATGATATGTCCAAAATAAAAAATATATTTTATATCTCTAGATATAAAACTACGGCTTAAAACCCTAATATCAACGATAAAACCCTAATATCAACGATAAAAAACATTCAAAGCTACACTAGTGCTTCTTTTTTGTAATCTATTTTTAATTAAGTAAGTTGATTTTTTAAAATTTGCTATTAGCTTCAAGTGGCTCAAATCCGGTTTGAATAAAAATCACATTTTCTAAATCCATTTGCAGCTCTTAACCGTTCATCCAATGGATTTGTGTTTTAAGAGTCATTTAGACTCACAGTTCTTTAGTTTTTATCTCTATTCTGAAACATTTATGAAGTATTTATGTCCACGAGTGGAACATTTAATCCCAGCACATTTAGAAACAAGGATTCAGAAGTCTAAGAATGTGTACTCACCCATTACTGTTGGGATAGGCGGCCACGGATTCGCGACGGGAGCGTCCGAAAATAGTGGTGGGCACCTTGGAGATGGTCACCACCGAGTGGCGGCGTCCGGTGGGCGCCGGGGCCTGCGAGAGGGTGGCCAGGAAGGCGGCCTCCTTGGGTGTGGGCCCCGACCCCTCGCCGCCCCGCTCCGAGAGGCGGCGCACCTGGCTGGCCGTGATCCCGTCGGTCACCTGCTGCGACGGCAGCGAGTGCTTCCTTGCCTCGCGGGGATCGCGCCACGGCGAAAGCAGATAGGGATTGACGGGCGAGTCGATGTCCAGGCTGCCGCGATTGGAGACCGTCGGCTCGGAGCTGTCCTCCTGCTCCTCGGGCAGATTGGACTCCTCCACCACGATGAGCGGCTCGGGAGCGCCGATCCCGTGCGACCCCATTGGCTGTGGGCGCTGTGGATGCTGGGGATGCTGTGGGTGTTGTGGATGTTGTGGATGCTGTGGATGCTGGGGGTGCTGGGGGTGTTGGGGATGCTGCGGTGGGCGGGGATGCCCCGGTCCGGTCGACTGGCCCGTGAAGCGGGCGAATGGTGACCCACGGAAGCGTAGCGCATCTGCGGAGTATACAAGTTCCTCTGAGTCATATCTTTTTTTTTTTTTTTTTGTGAAATAATAACGAAATGGTAACAAAGATAGGTGCACTGTTACCTAACTGGGCAACTTAAACAAATCAGATATCTTTGTTACAAAGTATATTTCCCAAACCTCGTTTGTTATAAAACTTATAAAACCAATTATTAACAGCAAATCTTATTTATATAAAGATCACGTTCTTTTTTAAATGAAAATATCTAATGGATCTTAACGTTAGCTATCAAATAACCTTTTCTTAGACTTTAATAAAATCATTTCTCAAAAAGTTAAAGTGGTTTCTGGGACACCCATTGCATAACTATAGAATGTCCTATATTTAATTTAAAGATTCATTTTTAACTTTGGCTTTAGACTTTCAAATTTGCAACACCTCCCGAGTGTAAACTGTTGATAATCAGGTCCAAACGACCGCTTTGCGTGCAGCTAAGAGGTGTGGCACGGTTCGCTCGAGTGCTTCATTAGTGGCTCGTCGGCTTGTCACTTACCCATTTTGCACAATTGCTCAATTGCTCGCCAGCGGGGAATTCGCTACTGACTGTCTTCGGGGTCTGGGAAATCTGCTTCCGACTCCTCCTCTCCGGTGTTGGCTCCTCGGTGTTCTGTCCTTTGAAGTGTCGTTGCTGCAATCGAGAGCAAGCCAGACGTCCAATGAACGATACTTGAACACAATAATCAAATGCTGCTCTTTATGGTGAACATTTAATACTAGTACATAAACCAGTGCTTGAGACAATAAATATTAAATGAAAACCTACTCAAAAAAGAAAATACCCCATGGTTTTATCAAACGCAGGATATTTTGAAAAAGATTTACTGGAGTACGAAAAAACCACCAACTGGAAACCGAATTAATAGCTTCATCGTTAAAAGTCTGTGAATAATTTCCGGTCTTTCTCGCGTACATATGCAAGTGCTTAAGACAATAAATATTAAATGAAAACCTACTCGATAAAGAAAATACCCCATTGACTTGAGCTTTAATTCACGATTAATTCCAAATGAACCCCTTTAATGTACAATATTTCAAAATGGTTTTATTAAACGCAGGATATTTTAAAAAAAGATTTACTGGAGTACGAAATATCACCAACTGCAAGCCAAATTAATAGCTTTATCGTTAAAAGTCTGTGAATAATTTCCGGTTTTTCTCGCGTTGCGCACTCAAATTTCCAGGACCACCATATGTGCCCCTAAGCCCGCAGGGTATAGCGAACTACGACCATCCAACAAGCTCATGTGTGCCCTTATCCGTGTGGCAGGTTAAATAAAGTCGGGGCAAGTCTCGCTCTTCCTGCTCATTATCCCCAGCCACAAATTGGAAATGGCAGCAAAATCATGCATCAAAGTAATTAAAGCCACTGTCCAGGGACTTTTCGCTCCGCTGAAGATGGCTGACCCCCCTTTCCCCCCCGCTTAGGGACAACCCTGCCATAATAAGCATAAAATTATGCAAAAGTTGAAATGAAATTCCGCCACTGGAGTTCGTATTTCCGAGGGCGGATGGTGATGGGTATGCAGCGGGCTAATTGCGATGGAGTTTAAGCCGAGGCCGAAGCCTCAATCGGGTTGCCAGGAGTAATGGCAACTTTTTCATTTACATGTTGGACCTCCTCTATATGAATTCATTTTCATTGCATTGAATTTGAGCGGCCTATCTTGTTATATTTAAATGCCATTCGGAAGTGATCAGAGAGAAGCTTTGATTAAATCATCTCAAGCATTTCAGCGCAACCACTGCTGCTGCGGCCTTTAACAAAGGTAAATTTGATTTGATTAGGGGCACTTGCATAGCCGCCATCCTCGACCACCAGTCGCTGCAACTGGGGCAGCTCGAAGTCGCAAGTCCAAAGTCGCAAGTCCCGAGCCGCAAGTTCATTAAGCTTGTAAATTGGCAATCAACACCAAAGTTGCGGTTTTGTGTTGGAGCTAATTAGCCTGTCTATGCCACTGACAGGACCGCCGAGCTTGGACGCCCTCACTCCCCCCCCCACATTCCCCGCCAATTATCCTCCCGGGAAACGTTCCACGCTTCTATTTTCCGCTGCGGAGGTGACTTGAAAGCTTGAAAAATATTTAGCTGCTTGAACCACTAGTAAACAAACAAATTAGTATAATAAAAAACCAATTATAAACCCAATGGGAAGTCATTACTCATTATTCCAAAAGACAAACAAATGCTTCTCTAAATTTAAATTATGTTTAGCACTCGATATCCGGGCGCCATTAAAAGACACCCACGGTTTTGAGGGCTTTGAAATAGGGCACAATAAAACCGCACTCCTTCTCAATTTTGAAAAAGGAATTCCTTTCTGTGGTTCATGTTGTGCGCGATGCAGTCGGTTTGTAACTCCTTTATTGCATGTCCTTTTTGACATTTTTGGTCCTGCACGGACCTCGCACATTTTGCGGTTTCACCGGCAGTCTATATTAAGCATTGTGGCCCAGTGCCCAATTGTGCATCTAATTTGGCCAAAAGTACCCAAAGCCAACGTAGAGCCTTATGGGAAATACCAGAAACAGGAATGCGAGCACCAGAAACTAGTTGAGAACTCCTGTCATAGACATTATCTTCTTTTGAGCAATCAAACAGGTTCGGCTTTGATGCAATTATGCCATGAAAGGGGAAATTGATAGGGGAAATCATTGAAACAGTGCCATTTATACTACTTAAATCGCGATTGTTAAATTCAAGATACGCCTTTTTCAGAGACTGCGATTTAAAAGGCAAATAAAATGGTATACCAATTGATTCTCAACCACCGTCTCTATTTTCCATGCTCATGTGATGTGTCTATTTGGTTAGTTGATTTGGGCTGCCACACATTTTCAACGCCACTCTGGCACCACCCCACACAATTTTGTGGGTGATTGATTGACTCGGCTCCGGCCAGACGGACATAGCCAACCCAGATCGGGATAGCGAGTGTAGAACGGCCGATTGAGAGATTGACAGATTGACGCAGTGACTGTGTCCCACTGTCCACTGTTCAGTGTCCAGTGTCCACCTCTTCAGTGTCCCTGCTCGGGCGCCACGCTCAATTTGAGCTCAGCTTTGTTTAATGGACTTGCTTGAAAAAGTTTACAAAGCACTTTGCAGTTGGAGAGCAAAAAAGAGGACATCCATCAGCATTCTCAACACTCGCTTGTTGCAACATTGCTTATTAATGGGCATTAGCAATTGGCATTCAAATGCACTACTCACTGGGGGATGGGATGGGGGGGTGGGGGGGGGGTCTTGTCCTACCAATTCCTGTTAATTGTCCAGGGACATTTTTATCCTTGCCGGAGTGTTTGTAATGCCTGCTGCTCGTGTGGCTGCCTTCAGTTTTTCCGCTTAACTGGCGTTAAGTAGTTTGGGTTTAGGGGGCCTTAATCACGAACTGCCTTGGCAACCTGTCCTTATTTTCCATTTTCTGAAGAGACAATTTTAGATTTCCCACAGCCAGACTCCTACTGGGGTGGACATTTGAAAAGCCAAAGGTTAGGGGTTAAGCCGCATATGGCATATGGCATTCAGCATTCAGTATTCAGCATTCAGCATCCAGCGTCCACATCACCATACGTTCCAGATTCAGATCCACATTCGCATTCAGATTCAAATGCTCGGGGAAAAATATTTGTTCTGTGCGTGCAACTTTCGATATTTTTTTCTGTCTGAGGGTATATCAATTTTCGCAAGCTTTAAGTTTCTAACCACTCATGGAAATGTTGCATTTTATTTGCTATTGGACTTTCAAGGAAGTTTATTTAATATCCCTAATTAACACAGTGGTTGGCATTCAAAGTGCCATGTTTTGAAAGGGTGTTAACTAGTCGAACATCACGGGTTGAGCTGCTGAGGCAGTTGTAGAACTCCTTGTGCAGGCTTATGTAAAGTGCGAAGGCGATTCCGTAGAGGAACATCATGATTGCGGCTTTCTTGGCTGACTTTGACATGCAGTCTTGCAGTCAGCAGCAGTTGCACCTGGCAACGGAAGTGCACACACACACATGGTTGCCCTCATCCCCTCATTTGGAAACCCCTTGCGGTGGCTCCGGTGCCACTTTAGCTTCTCAGAGGACTGCGGACGGAGGCTTCCCGAGGGGGAGTCTGCATGGGAGTTGGGACTTGGGAGTTGGGGGCTCGGTGTGGGCACAGGAAAGGGTTCGTTGCCTCTGCGGATAAGGCAATAAAGTGGTCTGGGAATTAGGAACATGGTGCTCCCACAAATGCATGCATTTAATTTTAAATTGTGGAATCAGGCCACAACATTTGAATACATTCCAATACCTTCATCTGTTTTGTTTAACCTTAAATTGAACTGCACAATAACCAATTATTCTGGCCACAGAGCGATGTTTAGCTGCAGGACTCAGGACTCAGGAGCCATTGAACATTTGGGGTATTGGGTGCAGCCTTGTGAAAAATGTGTCCATTTCCTATGTGCAATTTGAAATGTTCTCGAAACTCAGCAGTTTCTCTTCCTTCCTGTCTCTTTGTCTGCCTTTCCCAGTGCCTTTTGCTGCCCGTGGAGAGTCCTGACAAGCTTGTTTATGACATGCAACGAAAATGCGGCCAGGATATGGATGTGGCCATGGTCTCGGACTCAGACTCGGACTCGGAATCAGTCTTGGTCATGGTCATGGCCCTGCCATCGATGGCCCACAACCCACCACCCCCTCCCCACAAAACAATGGGAATCGGACTGCATTTGTGCGACGGTTCTTTGGAGCTTCCGCTTTCGGTTTTGATAACATTGTTACCACCAACGTTTTGTAGTTTTGCATTTAATTTTTTTTTTTTTACTATTCGGCAATTTACAACTAAAAAGTTGCGCAGGATGTGTGTTTGTTGCACAATACATTAACGCGGATAGCGTAGGCGGAAATGTCACACATTTGCCGCCGCTGGCAACATTGTGGCAGATGCCGAGCTGCCGGGCAGGAAGCGGAGCGAAAATAGCAATCAAAACTTAACTGAATTGCAGCACATGACGGCAGAGGAGGCAGTCACCAGCCACCACCCTCCAGGCACCTCCTCCTCCCATGACCTTGCCCATGCACACGCCTTCACCTACAAAGTTGGTTGAGCGAATTAAAACATAAATGCATTTGCAGCAGGCCAACACAGTCCCAAGATGAACAGTGGGCGGGAGGAAGGGAGGAGGGAGGCGCTTACTCCTAATCGAATCGAACCGAAGTGGACCAAGTGGAAATGCCAGAAAATTTGCGTTGCCCTGGAAAATGTGCAAAAAAAAAAAAAAAACAAGAAAGGAAAGCTAACTTCGGGCGGAGCCGAAGTTGAAATACCCTTGCAGAATATTCTGCAAATTATATTCTCCAAAATTATTCATATGATGCGTTCTTAATACTCATAAAAAATCCCCACTTCCTAACTTTAAAAACACCAAAGTTATGGCATTTCCAATCGTTCAGTTAGGTATATGGCAGCTATAGAATATAGTCGGCCGATCCTTATGAAATTTGATATGTCGGATTGATTGGGCAAAAATAAAACCCATAGAAAATCCCAACTTCCTAACTTAACAAACACTAAAGTTATGGCATTTCCGATCAATCAGTTATATGGCAGCTATAAGATATAGTCGTCCGATCCTTGTGAAATTTGGTAGGTCGGATT